GAAAATCAGAACTAGGTAGAATCAAGGTTCAGGCTCTAGTTTTTCGCAGAAGCAAGGCTTAGGTTTGGGGTTCAGGAGTATCAAAGTATGTAAGTAGGTATATCGTGAGTATGGGTGCATGTATGTATGATCATAAGTATGCATCTATGTAGGATACGAGCGGAAAACTAAACCCAACACCCCACAACATAACCCCTAAACCTAAAACCCTGTGGGACCCTAGACCCTGGACCCAATCCTTATACCCAACACCTTTCACACCGGCATACACACAAACACTCTTTTTCTAAAATACACTCTATTCGGTGTGGAGGATTGGGGGTTTCTGGGATATTGGGGTTTAGATTTCAAGTATCTTTTGGGATTAAGCTATTCTCTAAACTTTAATCCCAAACCGACCACCCTAAACCCTAAACCCCAAACCCTTGTTGAACCCTACAAGCCTAAACCCTAACAACCCTAAGCCTTGAACTCTAAGGAGAACCCGGAGCCCCCAAGCCAATCCTGCGTGGCTCGCCGTGGTGTCGCCTCGGCGAATACCTGGGCCCGGCGGGGTCATGGGTTGGGGGGCAACAATTATATAAGAGCCCATGGCTCCTGAGGTTAATGTTGAATCGAACAAAGATCATGTCCTTAAGAGCCCGTGGCTCCTGAGGTCAACATTGCTTCAAAAAAAGTCCAGCTCCACAAACTAAATAAGAGCCCGTAGCTCCTGAGGTTAATGTTGCACAANNAAGAGCCAAGGGCTCCTGAGATTAATGTTTTGTCAGCAAAGTAATGACTGTTAATAAGAGCTGGTAGCTCCTATTCAATGAAAAGCAATGACGATGACTTCGGAATAAGAGCCCACGGCTCCTGGCTATGATGTTGCTGCAGCACACATGATCTCGAACAAAAGTTCAAAGCTCCTGAAAAACAAAGGCCACAAGAGCTTGCTACGTATTGAATTCTCGTGCCTGCGGAGCGAATCGCATCCGAAGAGCAGCGGTCCTGCATTGGCAACGATACACAGAAGAGCAAGCAAACAAGATTGTCCGCTGTAATGCTCCTCACTGCCCGCTCGCTGCTCCTTTTTTCATATGCCGCCGCTGATCCGGGATCCGCCTAGCTTGCGGCTACTGGCGTGCTGCCGACGACATGCACCCGATCTGCGGCACCGGCACTCCCAGTCCCATCTCCACCTCCGGAACCAGTCCCATCTCCACCTCCGGAGCCGCCGTCGGGACCGCCAGGATCATAGCGTCGCCACCAAGCCGGGATCACACCGTCCCCTCCATCGCATTCTTCCTCCTCCTCATCATCTTCTTCCTCCTCAGCACCATCGGCCTTTTTGCCGGTTTTCATTTTGTTCTTCTTGTCGAAGGCGTCCTTTTTGGTCTTGCCGAGGAGCTTTTGCTTCTTCCACTCAGGTTGATCCTTCCACCACTGCCTATGCTTCAGGCCTTTTGTGCCCCTTCTCTTCTGGACGGCCTGTATCTTCTCGCCCAGTTTCGGATCGTGGTCACTTTTTCCCCAACGGAACAGCCTTTTGCTCGCATCTTGAGGATTTTGTCCCCAAAGACTCAAGCGGCAATCGGGGTTTAGGCAGCAACCATTCCGCAAGTAGGCACTCTCCCCGCACGTACTGCAGGCCCGCAGATACTGCGAGCCTTCTTTCGGTGCACCTGCCTTTGCCGTTGATCCCGGCACCTCTGTCGTCCCTGCAGGCGGCCCAGGGGGCGGCGGCATCGGTGGCGTAGCCATCGGTGGCATACCCGGCATCGGCATCGTTGGCATAGGATGCATTGGTGGCATATGATGCATCATGTTTGGTGGCATATGATGCACCGGCCATGGAGGCGGCATGGGCGGGAAAGGCGTGCTGGTCGGCATGGGTGGTGGTGCCGCATGATCATTAGGCGGCCGCGGCTGCAGCACATTGGCTGCAGCGTTCAGAGCAGCCGAAGCTGACTCCGCGTTCCCCATCCTTGCTAGCAAAACCTTGAAAGGCAAGCTGCTATTAATATTAAGTGCATCAATGCTTGCACCTCAACGACAGCGTGACATCATTAAGTGCATCAATGCTTGCACCTCAACGACAGCGTGACAGCTCTGGGCACTGCTCACGACTCAAAATCAACAGTCCTTGCCCAGGAAGAAGATCCAAGCATCCTCGCGTGCGGGCGAAGGTCGACCTGTCAGCAGGAAAAAATTAGGGCTGCTCAGGAAAAAAAACAAACCCTAAACCCTAAAAACCCTAGAGGGAAAAACCCTAAACCCTAAACCGTTAAACCCAGCCCCTATTACCCAGCCCTAAAATTCCTTAAAAGACCTTAAAGTCACCTTAAAACCACCCCCCTATCAGAAACAAAAAAGCACCGTGGGGTGTAGGGTTGCAGGGTTCAAGATTTATTAAGCTTAGACTTAAATTTTAATCCAGGTTTAGGGTGTAATTCAGCTTCAAGGTGTTTATCCCTAAGCCTTCTTATACTGCAAAGCTACATCCCAAATAAATGAACACCAATGTCCACAAGCCATGGCGGCACCAACGAAAGTTCTGATAGCGGATATGTAATCCCTTATATATGCATATATGTTGGGTTTAGGGTTATTTGAGGGTTTCATGACTATATAGGGTTTAAAGATTTGTGGTCCTGTTCTATATTTAGAACTATAATCGCCTGGCTGCGGTGCATGCTAGCGAAGTACGTAAAGTAACTCCTGCGTGCGGCTGGCCTGTTGCAAGCAGCTCCGTGCCATTTGCAGCATATAATACCTGGCCGGTGCGACTGGGGAGGTACAGCTATAAAGTTTAGGAGCGGCTCGCTCCTCTATCTAGTGTGCTGCTGGTTAATTGGAGACCTGCTGGAGTACGGAACACAATACGTTAATTTGAGTGGCATTTGGCATCATTCTCGTTCAACGTACACACATGCATGCAATCATTGGGGGTGTTCTTCACGTCACGACAGGAGCGATCCGCTCCTTAAGCATGAGAACTAGCAAGCCCCAAGGCAGCTGCAATGACCACACACACACACACGATGCCCCGAGGCCTGCAGCTTACACCGAGATATACGAACTGAAACTTGGACTTATCATGACGAGATAGGGCCCAGAGCCCAAAGTCATACTGCAGTACATTATTATAACTGCCTAGCTACTGCATCCTACTGCACAGGCTCTTCTCCTGTTTTCGGTTTGAGCTTCGAGCCTAGCATGTACAAACAACATCTGCGGCAAGCTGGCCCATATCTCTCGCGACGAGCGTGGTCCGTTGCAAGGGTCCTGCTCGATCTGTGTTTATATTAACACAGCTCAATAAAACCTGGCTAGTGCTACTANNAGTCGGATTGAAGCTAAAGGATGCATAACGAATTGTTTTCGAACATCGTCGAAAGTTCTTTAGATTAGCTGCTAGTCTCGGCCTGCTTTAGCACGGCAAGCATGTTCCGAAAGGGGCGGACGATTGCGAAAATCTCCGTCTGGGTTTTGTAATCCCTAAAAACACCGTCCCTGCCCATATTGGTAAGAAAACTCTGCACATCCAAAAGCTCTAGGTACAAGCGGCAACATGCATCCGGCATGATCACGTTTCGGCGTTGCAGCTTCTGGTACTGCCGGAGCCAATAGGAAACACACATCAGCACCTCCCTTTGCGTCTCCGAAAGCTTTGGCAACTCGTTTGCCAATATCTGGGCCTGGACATCAAAGGACTGGGGGATTTCCTCCTGAAGCTCGCCGCTTTGAGGCTCTTCGTTTGGGGGTTCAAGCGTGTCAACCTGAGGACGTCTTTCACGGCTTTCACCACCAGCACGAGCGAGGGCTGTTGCGATGTTCTCCATGCGTAGTACCTGGCATCAAACAACATCAAAATAAAAAATATGTATAGTAATCAACCCTTACCGAAATTTTGTTTATGCTCACGAGCATTTGGTAGCCCATCTCGCCTCTGTGCCCAACCGCAACGTCACCGTGTTACCGTGGAACTGAGCACGGTGATCCATGTGAACGGCTGGAAGCCAGGCTAGGCAGCTTTGCAAAATCCTAAGAACTCTAAGCTCTGAGTCGGCAAGAAGCGGCGACAACAAGCTGCAGGTTATGCTTTAGGATGCAGCGAACTCCGACGAAGAAACGATCGATGACAAAAAACTGCACTGCAGAAGCGTCGATGACAAAAAACTGCACTGCAAAAGCGTCGATGACAAAAAACTGCACTTCAGAAGCGTCGATGACAAAAAACTGCACTGCCGAAGCGTCGATCACAAAAAACTGCACTGCAGAAGCGTCGATGACAAAAAACTGCACTGCAGAAGCGTCGATGACAAAAAAACTGCACTACAGACCAAATCACAAAACACAGTATTTGCATTTCCTTTTTACTCGCGGAAGCCTAGAGCAGCGGCAATGCTTTGATCGATCGCTCGAGAGAGCATCGATTGGCGACCCCCGATCGCTCGAAAGAGCATCGATTGGCGACCCCTGAAACTTCAAAACTTCAGAGCTCCGAGATGCGTCTCTTCAGCTCCGCCTTGATCTCAGCCTTGTCTGTCTTTGCATCCAAGGCTGGCACAGCATAGTCGATCATGATTTGCCGGACCTTGAAAGGATCCTTCCTACCACAGGTGGCAGAGGCCATCTGGGGCCCTCCAGTCTTACCGCGAATGCCAAATGCATTCTTGGGGGACTTATAGTACATCACACTCCAGTCGCCTATCGTGCATCCACGTACGGCTTCAGGTGCCTCAGCTTGGGGATCGGGCTGCTGCACCTTCGCTTTCGCCTTGGCTTCCTTAACCTTCGGAGGAGCATCTTTGCTGTCCTTGGCCTTAGCTTTCGATTTCGCCTTGGCCTTGGAGTTCTTGGCCTTGGCTGCGGCTTTCGCCTTGTGATCCTTGGGCTTGTTTGCTTTCACCGCCTTGACTTGAAGGCCACCGGCTAAAGTGCTTGCTAGCACCGGCACTTCCGAATCGAACTCGGTTCCATCCTTGAAGCGACCTCGCAGAAAAACAGCACCTTCGGGAGCATGCATGACGGCTTCCTCAATCCGCCCACAAGGCAAGGCTCGAACCAAGATGCCCTTCGCGAAATCGGTGTACGGCTGAAGGGCAAGAGCAGGCTGCTCCTTCTCAGACCCTTGGATCTCGATCGGACCCTCATCACAGGAGTCGATTTCCACAATGGTGCTTGTAGCGGTAGATCTGGAAGGGGCACCATCTAAGCCGAAGACCTTGTAGATGTCCGAGGTCGTCGCACTGTACAAAGAGAGCCGGCGAGGAGTCTGCTCAGAAGTCGGGCTTGGCGTGGAAGT